ATTTAACTTGAATTATAATCACCTCTAATCAGTAAAATTATTAAAAGTAACAAAATAAAAAGATAACCTCGTGTAAGCTTAGTAAAAGAACTTTAAACACCCTATCTACATACAATTTTTTCTTTTCATTTTAATCCCTACGAAAAACATTTTTTTAAAAGTTGAAAAAACAAATAATTAAAGTTTATAAAAGAATAAAAAGGAACAATATTTATCTTTTTAAACGATACAATTTGTATCATTTCAATAAAGGACCATGTTTTGTTATATATTTATGGATTTAATGTTTTTATTTTTTCCGTGAGTGAGTCATACTAATCTTTTTTCTATGTTCTCTTTATAACGAGACTCACTCATATTTATGTAAGTGTGACAAAAAAAAAATTCTGCAGTAGAAGCAAATTTTTTTTCTATATTTATTGGCTTTTTATATTTTCTCTTTCCTTAAAAAAACAAAATTAGAAGGAGAGAAAAGGAGAAAATATAATGGAGAAAAATAATGTACAAATTTTTTTTTTTTTTTTGATAACAATAATGTACAAATTTAATAAATATATACCGAATAACATAAAATTATTTATTTTAAAATGATAAATATTATGGGTGTTCGTGGTCTGGATTAGATCAGTTTTGGAAGCAAAAATCATCTGATCCAATCCCTTCGGTTTGATCATGTAATCATTCATTCGGTTTGGATTTTTTTTTCAAATTCGATTCAATCCAATCCAATTTTTTTCAGTTTGAATTCGATCGGTTTTTGATTTTTTGAAAATCCTAAAATTTGTTTCATAATTATTGTGCAAATAACATCATTGGTATATATTGACTTTGCAAATTTATTTATTTTTTAAATACAAAAGCATCATTAAACAATAATATAGTTTTTTTGGTAATGAGATATGAAACCCTACACAAATAAAATTTTGTTGATGAGATGTGACTAATTTTTTCTTCTTGGATTTAGTTGATGGGTTAATGGGTTTTGGGTTTAGAAATTTTTGGGTTATGATTGGGGAAAAGTTCAAGTAGGTAGGGTGAAATTAATACATTGGATCGGTTTGGATTTGATCGATTTTCATCGATCAATCCAAAATCCGATCCAATCCAATTAAAATTTGTGATTTTTTTTTGATTTTAAATTTATTCGATTATCGATTAGTTTGAATTGAGTTGGATAAGTTGATGAACACCCGTAATAAATACAAAAGAGAGAGAGGAAATACTCTTACATATAAGAAGCGTAAAAAAAAAAAAAAAAAACTCTTAAAATCAATTTCCCGTTACCTTCTCCAAGGCCCAAGCTAAAATGTACAGTCATTGGTGAGGGATGGGAAAGATGGGAAGCCGTGAGATTGAGAGAGGCTACAGCTGTTTTGTCTGCAAATGAATGCAGTTTTGCAATTCTAGGATTTGAATGTTGTAAAATGCTTGATTCCTTTTCGTGAGAATGGATCCTCTCATTTTTAACATCACTTCAAAAATCTCAGACTCAGCCATTTTTTGTGACGGTTGATTTGTGAATGAACGATTTAGATCTCTCACGAAGTGATGTTAAAAAAGACAAGAGAGGATCTGTTTTCCGTTGTCTGCTTATACACACGTGAAATTTGGGGTTATGGTTATTTTGGACTCATTCTGATAAAAGTCTTTAGTCATACACTTGATGCATGCGCAAATCTTCTGTTTTAGCTGCGATTTTTTTACTTTCAATTGTATTGTACAAGGTGCCAAACCAAGAGGTGCGTCTTAAGTAATTAGTTTCAACAATAATCGGCTCAAGTGTGAAAAAAAGGTACCATAAGTTGCATCTCTTTGATTTATTCTTTCTTTATTGTTGTTTGTTATCACAGGAAACCTATCATAATATCCAATTTGACCTTTCATATGTTTTTATTTTCTTTATTTCATTTTATTTGTTTGGGTTCAAAACCTTTCATAGTTAACTTTTGGAGAAGATATATCTTTATGTAATAGTGAGCAGCACAAGTGTGCAGCTTAAAATGTGCCCTTAATGGTGTTTTGTTTTTGTTCTGAGGAATAAGTGTCAATTAGTATTTTGGGTTGCTTGATCTATTACTGGCACAATCAGTAATTGTAGAATTGTCCTTAATATAGTTATGCTTGAGGATAAATTTGTCTTGAATGTGCGTCTATTGTCTGTTATATTCGTATTTTATAATCTTTGTTTTCCATGACATGCTTCTGTGTTGATTTGGACATTCTTATTAGCTCTACACAAAGCATAAGCTTGCTGTCTCGCACATTGTTGAGGAGTACAAGGAACGAAGACATTGCAGTACTCAGGTAATTGGTTTCGTTTACTTATTCATTTTTAATTTTATCTATATTATTTCTTCATATTTATTGTTTGTTTTTCCTTAAATCTATTTTTGCTTTTATATGGGTTCATGGATTGCTTGATCCTTGCTAGTTTGGGATAAGGTTATGTTAATATTGAAGTTGGAGTTGATACACACATCACTCAATATATATATATATATATATATATATATATATATATATATATATATATATATATATATAAAATCATATCTAAAGTTGCTGTATGTGCAACAATGTATGATTATGATTCCCTACATTTAATGTTTTTACCTTTTATATGGTTATGATTTCTCATATTAAATGCTTTAACCTATATATATGGAAAATTTGTCGCTGTTACACGTAAAGCGGTTGCAGAAAAATTGAACCCACAGATAGATATATATATATATATATATATATATATATATATATATATATATATATATATATGCTTTAACCTATATATATGATTCCCCATATTAAATGCTTTAACCTATATATATGGAAATTTTTTGTCACTGTTGCACGTAAAGCGACTGCAGAAATATCGAACCCATATATATATGTGTATGAGAGTGGAACTAAAATATCTTGTCTTGTCCTGCCTTGCCCCATAAATTGATGAGCATTGGGATTTATCAAAACTCTTCCAAGTTAACTGTTATCACTTTTTTTAACTAATTATCGCTTTTTGGATGTGGGACAGTGAGAGAGATGGTTGAACATGTTTTTTCTTGGAAGTTGAAGTAGAAATGGTTGAAAAACTTCTTTATTTTTCATTTTTTAAACCGTAATTGTTGTAGACAACCTGCAAGCAGGTATGAGTTTCCCTTCTTCCTTACACTTGCTTGCATTTATACCCCCATTAGTTTAATGTCTCAACTCTCACGTTTCATATCTTATGGCTTGAATAATTGCTTGTCAATTATTCCAACCTGTCTTCTCCCCATGTCATTATCTCCTTTTAAACCAATAGCCTAATGATATTGCTTCTAAATTATTCTTACTAGTGTTTAGATATTGGTCATGGTATTTCTTTAACTTCAAGTTTAGAACTTCACCTGCAAACTCATTATTTACCTTTCCTTTTTAAAATCCAAAGTCACAGCACTCTTCTGTGAAACTTTTAAACTTTCAACGTTTTTGCTGTACACTCAAATTCTAGACTTTACACTACATGAAGGTGAGATTCAGCATATAAATTGATATCAATTAGGGACAACAATTATTTCATCTAATAAACCAGCAGAGTGCTAACTTGATGCAGTAAGGGTAAATGCGGCTTCCGTTACTCTCTGAACTCTCGACTGTAATGAAATAAAAAAGATATTGACATTATTGTACTTTTCTTCTCCTTTCTGCTTCTCTGTTCTGGTGCTACTTTGATATTCTCTGTTAATCTGTTTTGCTGCATCGAATATCTCTTCAAGTTTGGCTAGCGGTAGTGTTATTAGTAGTTTAAAGGTTTTTTTTTTTTATGTGTTTGAATATAATTTTGTATCCTAGGTAAGATATTGATTTTGACTACCTTGGTTACAATTGGCAGTTCAAGTAGGTTTTCGTACTTAAATTTTGTTTTGCTGGACATTTTGGGAGACAAATTAAAGTTTCAGGTTGCGTTTTGTTCTAGACCGGCCACACTTGCCTAGTCCATTAGGCTGGCCACTAAGGCCCTTTAGAGGATTTACACCCCTATAGTGAGACAAATGTTCTCTCACCACACATGATCTCCTGCACTAGGTGAGGTTACTTGCCTCACACCTAGTGGGGCTCAGTAGTCACTAGAGAAGAAACAGTTATGACTCTCTCTTTCCTACTAAGGAATCTTCTTCCACCTATAAATACTTTGTTTCTCCCTTTGGTACATTCACTCTCCTTGCCATTATCCTTCCAGAATACTGCCCTTACACTCTCCCTTTGATTATCAGCCTTGAGACCCACTCATATTGACTTTCCTGTTGAACTTAGGTTCATACTTCTGCCTCACTAGATCATTGTTATACCTACATACTATACCCCTTTGTGGGAATCAGACCTAAACCCATTACACAAACAATTCAAGTTGTGAATTCAATTGTTTTTATATAGAATTGTGATGATGAGTTGTGGGGTGAGACAATAAGAATGGGCTATACTCGTCACATATTCATCACTCAAGGTGCCGTTTGGTAATCCAAAATCTCAGGCCTGGAATAGTCAAAACATCATTGGTTTGTAGTTGGTATTTAATTTTGGATATGGATGAACTTACAAGCTATATGGATCCGTGCATAAGAAAACATTGATTTATGGGATTAGAAAGCATAGCTGACTTTTTCGTTTCAATGAACAGTACTATTAGTTAATTACACTATAACGTGTCATGTGGAATAGCCTACTTGCAGACAATGTACTAAAGTCGAGGAAGGTAGGCATGAAATTGGCATTAGTCTAAAACAAGTAGCATTCTTTGGTCCTATTCACTTTGTGCAGTCAACTTTACATTGTCTTTTCCTTTGTACCTATTGATTTCATTTTTCGTCGTTATGTTGGTGTTTTGGGGGCTTAAATTCCTTCGTCAAGACTTACAGTTGCTAAATTTCAAATCTATAGACCATATAGTCCATAGCTGTTATGGGAGGAATTGTATTTCACGTAATAGAGCTTATATGAACAAATAATAAAAATAATGCAACGGGCCTATAGCCCAATGGTAGGGCAGTTGACTGCAAATCAAAAGGTCATCGGTTCGAATCCGATTAGGCCCTTTTGTTTTTTGTTGGTCTATTGAATACTACTTTCATATTTTATTTTATTTTTGTTTTCTTAACTTACCATTTTTGCTTTTATTGCAAAACCTAGGTCCACGCACTCACATATGATTCTAGCTACATTAAAGGTTTAGTATTAATTATCTGTTGAAGATGACATTATGTTTGCTAGGAAATTCAATTTTTTTTTTTTGCGATTCTATCTAAATAGTGAATTTCAATATTCCTTCGCATTTTGCTTTTCTTCCTCCAATATACATTAAAACCATTTCCTATATCTAACCTATAGGATTCGTTTGGTAGAAAGGATATGATAGAAATGGATAGGATAAAAGAAAGATTAGATAAAAGCAGGATATGATATAGGATTGTTAAGTAAATATTCTTTCTTGTATTTGATATGTACTAGATTAGCAGTCTGATACGATAATGTAATCATATCAGTTGTTTAAGACGAATCATATACTATCATGATGAGATATAAATAGATAAAAGTATTTTTAAAAAAATAATTTTATATAATTTTTTAAAATTATTGTTGAAATTATTTATTTATTTATTTACACATTACTATTTATTATAAATTATTTAAAAATTTTAAAATTCATAATTTAAAATTATATATATTAAAATACATAAATAATTTACAAAATTTTTAATAATAAAAAACTTATACCCTTACCAAATAAATTTTTTAAAAATTAATTTTAAATTGATTATCAATATTGGTGATCTTTGGTTAGTGATAGCGGGTGGTGGTGTCGACAATGGCTAGTGATAATTGTGGCGGTTAATTGATGGTGGCGATGATGGTTGCTGCTTGTGGTTGGGGTTGGTGATGGCCTCATGTGGTACCGGGTGATGGTGGTAGTAGGTGGGGGTGGTTAGTGGAAGTGGTGGTGTTAGGAGCGACAATGACTGGTGGCAATTATTGTGGCTGATTGATGGTGGCGGTGGTGGCAGCTAGTGGTAGTGGTGATGGTTGGTGCCTGCTATGAAGCACCGACATTTAGAATATTGCTCGATACAATTTTCACTCGATATTTGGTTCCAATGATTTGTCATTCCTCCTACCAAAGGAATGACTGAAATACATAACAATGTGATGAAATAATGAAAGGGTTCTGAACTTTCTGTCATAGTAACAACACCGCTGTGAGAGCAAGGAATGAGTAACTTTCGATAGTTTATATTCTTTTTGTATCCATTCTTTCGATAGTTTATATTCTTTAGAGTTTAGAAATTCAACATAGTGATACTTTCTCCTTGGGAGGATAACTTGGGACCCAATATTTCCCTTTATTACTTGGACGTGTGCATTTACACAAGTGCAATCATCTAGAAGTCTCTTCTTGGTGATCCACGAACCAACAATACCCATACATTTTTGGTGTGAATGGTGTACTTTATATCGAGATGTAGTCGTATAAAAGCATGGCAAGTGCAAGTAGACTTTTCAGTTCATAGCACCTTGCAAAGTTGCACCGTTAAGATATTATGCTAACATTGTCAAAGAAAATTAGAAACTAAAATTTCTTGTTATCAAAGCTTGTTTTGACAAAATTTGATTGATTTGATTTTTACACTTTTCATAAGCAATTTAACTTTAATTATAATCACCTCTAATCATAAAAAAATTATTAAAAGTAACAAAATAAAAAGATAACCTCGTGTAAGCTTAGTAAAAGAACTTTAAATACCCTATCTACATACAATTTTTTCTTTTCATTTTAATCCCTATGAATTTTTAAAAAAAACATTGAAAAAACAAATAATTGAAGTTTGTAAAAGAATAAAATGAAAAAATATTTATCATTTTTAAAGGATATAATTTTGTGTCATTTTAATAAAACGACCATGTTTTAGTATATATTTATGGGTTTAATGATTTTGTTTTTTCTGCAGAAAAAATTTCTAGGCCATACTAATTTTTTTCTATATTTATTGGCTTTTTATATTTTCTCTTCCGTACAAAAATAAAATTAGGAAAAGAGAAAAGAAGAAAATATAATGGAAAGAAATAATGTAAAAAACTAATAAATATATACCAAATAACATAAAATTATTTATTTTAAAATGATAAATATTTTTTCAAAAAATAAAAATAAAAAAAGCAAGAAAAATACTCTTTCACTTAAGAACTCTTAAAAAAAAAAAATCAATTTCCCCTTACCTTCTCCGAGGCCGAAGCTAACATGTACAGTCATTGGTGAGGGATGAGGAAGATGAGAAGCCGTGAGATTGAAAGAGGCTACAGCTGTTTTGTCTCCAAATGAATGCAGTTTTGCAATTCTAGAATTTGATTCTTGTAAAATGCTTGATTCCTTTTCGTGAGAATGGATCCTCTCATTTTTAACATCACTTCAAAAATCTCATACTCAGCCATTTTTTGTGACTGTTGATTTGTGAATGAACGATTTAGATCTCTCACGAAGTGATGTTAAAAAAGACAAGAGAGGATCTATTTTCCGTTGTCTGCTTATACACACACGTGAAATTTGGGGTTATGGTTATTTTGGACTCATTCTGATAAAAGTCTTTAGTCATACACTTGAGGCATGCGCAAATCTTCTGTTTTCGCTGCGAGGGTTTTACTTTCAATGTTGTTGTACAAGGTGCCAAACTAAGAGGTGCGTCTTAAATGATTGGTGTCAACAATAATCGACTCAAGTGTGAAAAAAGGTACCATAATCAGTTCCTCCCAAATTACTCTGAATTTACATTTATACCTATTATAAATTCATAATCTCTTTGATTTATTCTTTCTTTCTTTCTTGTTGGTTGTTATCACGGAGAACCTATCATAATTTCCAATGTAACCTTTCATATGTTTTTATTTTCTTTATTTCATCGTATTTGTTTGGGTTCAAAACCTTTCATAGTTAACTTACGGAGAAGATATATCTTGATGTAATAGTGTGCAGCTTAAAATGTGTCTTGTTTTGTTTTTGTTCTGAGAAATAAGTTTCAACTATTATTTTGGGTTGCTTGATCTATTACTGGCACAATCAGTAATTGTAGAATTGTCCTTAATATAGTTATGCTTGAGGATTAATTTGTCTTGAATATGCGTCTATTGTCCATTATATTCGTATTTTATAATCTTTGTTTTCCATGACATGCTTCTGTATTGATTTGGACATTCTTATTAGCTCTACACAAAGCATAAGCTTGCTGTCTCGCACATTGTTGAGGAGTACAAGGAAGGAAGACATTGTAGTACTCATGGTAATTTGTTTCGTTTACTTATTCATTTTAATTTTTATATATATATTATTTCTTCATATTTATTTTTTGTTTTTCCTTAAATCTATTTTTGCTTTTGTATGGGTTCATGGATTGCTTGATCCTAGCTAGTTTGGGATAAAGGTTATGTTAATATTGAAGTTGGAGTTGATACACACATCACTCAATATATATATAACCTTTATCCCAACTTCAATATTAACATAACCTTTATACCAAACTAGCTAGGATCAAGCAATCCATGAACCCATACAAAAGCAAAAATAGATTTAAGGAAAAACAAAAAATAAATATGAAGAAATAATATATATATAAAAATTAAAATGAATAAGTAAACGAAACAAATTACCATGAGTTCTACAATGTCTTCCTCCCTTGTATATATATATATATATATATATATATATATATATATATATATATATATATATGTAAAATCATATCTAAAGTTGTTGTATGTGCAGCAATGTATGATTATGAGTCCGTACATTTAATGTTTTTACCTTTTATATGGTTATGATTCCCCATATTAAATGCTTTAACCTATATATATGGAAAATTTGTCACTGTTGCACATAAAGTGGCTGCAGAAAAATCGAACCCATATATATATATATGTATGAGAATGGAACTAAAATATCTGGTCTTGTCCTGCCTTGCCCCATCAATTGATGAGCTTTGGGATTTATCTAAACTCTTTAACTTCACTGTTATCACTTTTTTGGATGTGGGACAGTGAGAGAGATGGTTGAACATGTTTTTTCTTGGAAGTTGAAGTAGAAATGGTTGAAATGAAAATCTTCTTTATTTTACATTTTTTAAACCATAATTGTTGTAGACAACCTGCAAGCAGGTATGAGTTTCCCTTCTTCCTTACACTTGCTTGCACTTGTACCCCCAATAGTCTAATGTCTCAACTCTCACGTTTCATACCTTATGGCTTGTATAATTGCTTGTCAATTGTTCCAACCTGTCTTCTCCCAATGTCATTATCTCCTTTTAAACCAATAGCCTAATGATATTGCTGCTAAATTATTCTTACTAGTGTTTAGATGTTGGTCATGGTAATTCCTTAACTTCAAGTTTAGAACTTCACCTGCAAACTCATTATTTACCTTTCCTTTTTAAAATCCAAAGTCACAGCACTCTTCTGTGAAACTTTTAAACTTTCAACGTTTTTGCTGTACACTCAAATTCTAGACTTTACAGAGTGCTAACTTGATGTAGTAATGGTAAATGCGGCTTTCGTTACTCTCTCAACTCTCGACTGTAATGAAATAAAAAAGAGATTGACATATTGTACTTTTCTTCTCCTTTCTGCTTCTCTGTTTTGGTGCTACTTTGATATTCTTTGTTAATCTGTTTTGCTGCATCGAATATCTCTTCAAGCTTGGCTAGCGGTAGTGTTATTAGTAGTTTAAAGGTTTTTTTTTTTCTTTGTGTGTTTGAATATAATTTTGTATCCTAGGTAGGATCTTGATTTTGACTACCTTGGTTACAATTGGCAGTTCAAGTAGGTTTTTGTACTTAATTTTGTTTTGCTGGACATTTTGGGAGACAAATTAAAGTCTCAAGTTCGGTTTTGTACTAGACTGGCCAGACGGGCATAGTCCATTGGGCTGGCCACTAAAACCCATTAGAGGGTTTACACCCCTATACTGAGACAAATGTTCTCTCACCACACCTGATCTCACTCCCTTACACAAGCACCTCCTGCACAAGGTGAGGCTGCTTGCCTCACACCTAGTGGG